CAATAGGTGGGGCGCACAGGGGGGGGGGGGGCGCCAGAAGGGATCCTCACCTAGGGTGCAAAATAAGCTGGGGCCGGCCCTGCATGTGGAGGAGTGGGGAATCAAACCTGGTTCTCCCAGACTAGAGTCCGTGCTCCTAACCACTACACTAAGCTGGTTCTCAAAAAAGCAGAGATACTTTTATGCAAACCTTTTTTAAATAATTGAATGGTGGGTCAAACCCATTGACTTGGCCACAAATCCCATTATCCCACTAATATCATGTACCTCCATGTATGTATGCTGGCACGCTCACACACACACTCTCCATAACTCCTCCTCCTGGGAGGCCTGTGGACCAGTGTTTCCTCTAAGCTGAGTTAGCTCCAGAGCAAACTAATCGATGCGGCAGCCAAATCGCTCGCTCGCAGCTTTAATGCCAGGGACTCACCAAGTAGAATTCTTGCTCACAGCTTAGAGGGAGCATTGCTGTGGATGCTAATTTTTCCCCCCCCTGTCATCTGGGAATGTGTGTTGTTTTATCTGTTGATAGGTCTTGAGTATTTTCATGTTGGGTTTCAAGCTGACTATTTATTGTATTCGTTTCTGTGGTAAGCCGCCCTGAGCCCGGCTTGCAGGGAAGGGCAGCCTAATAAATCCAACATAATGAATAAATAAATAAAAAATTAGGACCACAGCCATTACCCGGAGGTAACTTCCTTTCTCCCCTCTCTGTTAACCCTGAGAAAGTAAGAACATAAGAACATAAGAGACGCCAATGTTGGATCAGGCCAAAGGCCCATCCAGTCCAACACTCTGCATCACACAGTGGCCAGAAATACCAGGTGCCATCAGGAGGTCCACCAGTGGGGCCAGGACATTAGAAGCCCTCCCACTGTTGACCCCCCCAAGCACCAAGAAGACAGAGCATCACTCGCCCCAGAGCCCCTATCTATACTTTGTGGCTAATAGCCACTGATGGACCTCTGCTCCATATGCTTATCTAATTCCCTTTTGAAGCCATCCATGCTTGTAGCCACCACCACTTCCTGTGGCAGTGAATTCCATGTGTTAATCACTCTTTGGGTGAAGAAGTACTTCCTTTTATCCGTTCTAACCCGACCGCTCAGCAATGTCATGGAGTGCTCATGAGTTCTTGTACTGTGAGAAAGGGAGAAAAGTACCTTTCTCTACCTGTTCTTTCCCATGCATAATCTTATAAACCTCGATCATGTCACCCCTCAGCCATCATTTCTCTAAGCTAAAGAGCCCCAAGCGCTTTAACCTTTCCTCATAGGGAAAGTGTTCCAACCCTTTTCTCATTCTAGTTGCCCTTTTCTGCACTTTTCCCAAAGCTATAATATCCTTTTTAAGGTGTGGTGACCAGAACTGCACACAGTATTCCAGATGAGGTCGCACCACTGATTCATACAGGGGCATTATGATATTGGCTGATCTGTTTTCAATACCCTTCCTAATAATCCCCAGCATAGAATTAGCCTTCTTTATTGCAGTCACACACTGTCTCGACATTTTCAGTGAGACAGTGACTGCTGTCGGGGAACCATTTCCTCCAGACTGGTCCCGGTCAAATCCATATGGCACCTCTGGAGTAAGGAAACGGCCTCCCACACGCCAACGCCACGCATGCCCTGGGAGCACATGACTCCACGGCATTGTTAAAGCTAAGCCCGTAGTCTGGTTGACGCCGGGCTGGGAGACATTCCGGGAGCCCCAGTTTGGTTTCAGCTGCTCTGGTCTTGCTAAAAGACTGTGTAGTCAATGCTCTGGAATGCGGTCGGACAGAACTCGGGGGGTGCCCTTTCTCAGTTTCAGAGAAAGCGGCCGGGTAGAGTCCGATCCTGTCAGGTCTCTGAAGCGAAGCCAGGCCAGTACTTGGATGAGAGAGACCACCAAGGAGGTCTCTGCAGGGGAAGGCAGCGGGGAAACTACCTCTGCTTCTTCTCGCTCACCTTGAAAGCCCCTTGGCGGGGGTCACCGTAAGTCAGTTACGACGTGGACAGCGCTTATGGAAGTGTGTCGATTTCGGGGTTACTTTCCTTTTACATTTCTGCTTAAGTAGATCAGCGGCCTTTAGGAAGGGGAGAAGTGATTGGATTTATACCCCGCCCTTCACTACCCGAAGGAGTCACACAGGGGCTTGCAATCTCCTTTCCCTTCCCCTCCCCACAAGACACCCTGTGAGGTAAAAGAAGAAGAAGAAGAGATTGGATTTCTACCCTGCCCTTCACAACCCAAAGGTGTCTCAGAGCGGCTCACAAACTCCTTTCCCTCCCCTTCCCCACAACAGACTCCCTGTGAGGTAAAAGAAGAAGAAGAAGAGATTGGATTTATACCCCGCCCTTCACTACCCAAAGGACTCTCAGAGGGGCTTACAAACTCCTTTCCCTTCCCCTCCCCACAACAGACACCCTGTGAGGTAAAAGAAGAAGAAGAGATTGGGTTTATACCCCACCCTTCACTACCCGAAGGAGTCTCAGAGGGGCTGACAAACTCCTTTCCCTTCCCCTCCCCACAACAGACACCCTGTGAGGTAGGTGGGGCTGAGAGAGCTCTGAGAGAAGTGCCCTTGAGAGAACAGCTCTGAGACAACTCATGACTGACCCAAGGTCACACCAGCAGTTGCGTGTGGAGGAGCGGGGAATGAAACCTGGTTCCCCCAGATTAGAATCTGCACTCCTAACCACTACACCAGACCACACTAGAGCAAACAGGGGGCTTCCTGCTTCCCCTCACACCATTTTTCCCACCAGGAACAGCTGTGGAACCCCACACGTTGCTCCTCCATGGGGGAAACAAGGGCTCCGGAAGCCATTTCCAGCCAGGAAAACTGCATGAGGCAGAAGGTTCAAACCCCTCTGCGTGCAGCCCAGTCCAAATTGTGCCCTGTACCTGGAAGTTAAGAAGGGGGAGGAGATCGGATTTATCCCCCGCCCTTCACTACCCGAAGGAGTCTCAGAGCGGCTTACAATCCTTTCCCCTCCCCACAACAGACACACCCTGTGAGGCAGGTGGGGCTGAGAGAGCTCTTTCGAGAACTGCCCTGGAGAGAACAGCTCTGAAATAGCTTGTGACCAGGGTTCCCTGTAAGCTGAGTTAGTGTGAGCTAGCTCACAGTTCTTTAGCCTCTGGCTCACACATTTTTGTCTCAGGAAGGATGGCTGCAGAGCAAACTAATTTATGCAGGAGCCAAATCGCCGGCTCACAACTTTAATGCCAGTCGCTCACAAAGTAGAATCTTTGCTCACAAGACCTCACAGCTTAGAGGGAGCATTGCTTGTAACTGACCCAAGGTCACACCAGCAGCTGCATGTGGAGAAGTGGGGTCTCAAACCCGGTTCTCCCGGATTCGAGCCCGCGCTCCTAACCGCTACCCCAAACTGGGTCTCTTTTGGCTGACAATCTCCTGTCCTCAGATTTTGCACTGAAACCCGAACTTATGCATAATTTGAGCCCCCCCGTGGATACTGCCCCGGACCCAGATGGCCCAGGCTCACCCGATCTCATCAGCTCTCGGAAGCTAGTAAGGTCAGCCTGGTCAGTATTTAGAACTGAGACCACCAAGGAAGCCCAGGACTGCTACACAGAGGCAGGCAATGGGAAACCACCTCTGAATGTCACTCGACTTGAAAAAACCCCACGGGGTTGCCATAAGTCAACTGCGACATGACGCCACATTCCTCCACCACCACCACAGATATCAACCGTTTACATCCGCTTCCCCCACCACCACCGCCGCCGCCTAAGAGAAGCATGCCAAGAGTCCATTCGAGACCTTACCTGTGCTGGAACGAGCCTTCGGCCTGGACTTGCACCCGAAGCCGGTCGGCGATCCCCCTAGCAAGCTGCTCGGGGGGAATAGTCCAGAGCCGTATTCGGGCACATAGGAAGGGTAGGTGGTGATCGGGTGGTGAGCCGAGGACGAGGCCGCTCCTAGCGAGGACATGCCGGTCCGCGAGTGGGAGGACTCCAGCTTCATCGTGTCGGCCAGAGAGACCTGGTACTTGATACACTCCTTCTCCTCTTGGCGGCCGGATCCGGTGGAGCCCGGGGTGGAGATGGAGGGGTCCGGGGAGACATCTTTGGGAGGGGTCGGCGGGAAGGTGAAGAGGTGCGGGCTGGAGTGGCCCGTGGACAGAGCGGAGGAGGACGCCGGCGGGTAGACGGAGAGGGGTCCGGGCGAGCTGTGGTGGATGGGGGTCTTGGAGAAGGGGCTCAGGTTCCAAGGGGAGGCGCTGTGGTGGCTGCCCAGGGCTTTGCTCCCGTCCAGCCAAGGGAGAGAGCCGTGCAGCAAGGGCGGGCGGCACACCTGACCACCTGCTAGGACAGAAGACAGAGCAGATCCCAGTTAGGGGCCTTCGCCCGGGAGAAGCCCCTGAGACACCAACCGAGGTCCCAAAATCCCAATTGCCTTCCTCGAACAATCGGGAAGAATGAATTAGAAAGCTAAGCACCTCGGGACGCGATGCAACTCAGAGAAACCGGGTTGGGTGGGGTTTTTTAGGCCTATTGCTTAGTCCTGTTTTTTAGTCAACTTCCGGGCATGGAATGGCATGGCTCCCTCTAAGTTGTGGAGACTTTAGAGCAAAAATTCTACTTTGTGAGCTCCTGGCATGAAAGTTGTGAGCGAGCGATTTGGCCGCTGCATAAATTTGGTTTGCTCTGGAGCCCTCCTTCCTGAGCTGAGACAAAAATGGGTGAGCCGGAGGCTGAAAAACTGTGAGCTAGCTCCCACTAACTCAGCTTAGAGGGAACACTGGACTCACTGGGGGTGTCGGTCAGTGTTTCCTCTAACGTTGAGTTAGTGTGAGCCAGCTCACGGTTCTTTAGCCTCCGGCTCACACATTTTTGCCTTAGCTCAGGAAGGATGGCTCCAGAGCAAACTAACTTATGCAGCAGCCAAATCGCTCACTTGCAACTTTAATGCCAGTAGCTCACAGAGTAGAATTTTTTGCTCACTCCACAGCTTAGTGGGAGCAGTGGTGTGGGTATTTGTGAATTTCCTGCATTGTGCAGGGGGTTGGACTAGATGACCCTGGAGGTCCCTTCCGACTCTATGATTCTATGATTCCAACAGAGGGGATCGGGTGCCTATCTTTTAACCAGCTTTAGAGATTTATTGGGGGCTTAAATGTCCTTTAGCTTTAGCCGGATCACCGCCCTTGCAAGATAACACATTAAATGGTCACAATCCGGTTGGAGCGTTCTTTTCCCATGATTGCTCTTGCCCTCTTCTTCACACCCTCCTCTCACAGCAGAGGGGATCGGGTGCCTGTGTTTTAACCAGCTTTAGAGATTCATTGGGGGCTTAAATGTCCTTTAGCTTTGGCCGGATCACCGCCCTTGCAAGATAACACAACAGGGGGTTGAGTTAACATCCCCTGTATCATGGTATAGCAAGCAACCCCAAAGCTGCTAAGGTAACTCTGTGTAGTTCCTACTCGAGGTAGTAGCTCCAGCTAAGTGAAGGTAGTAGTTCCTACTCGAGGTAGTAGCTCCAGCTAAGCGAAGGTAGTAGCTCCAGCTAAGCTAACCCTCTGGAGTTCAGCAGCTCTGGGGAACCACATAGTTTGACTCCTGGTCTACCCATGGCCGTTTGGGCCTGGTCTACCCATGGCAGAACTTCAAAATCTAACTGGAAAACTGACTTCTGCTGAGTCAGCCCAGTGGTCCCTCAAGGTCAGTATTTACTCTGACTGGCAGCAGCTCTCCAGGGTCTCAGATGGACATCTTCCACATCCTGTAGGACCTGATCCCTTTTTCACAGGAGATTTCAGAGACTGAATCGGGGAACCTTCTAGATGCAAAGGAGATGGTTCCACCACACCCTGCAGTCCTCGTCAGAGTTGCGCCTTTCAACATCGATCAAAGTCAATGGCCTTCGAAGGTTGAAACTCTGTTTAGGGTTGGAACTAGAAAGAGGACATTCACAACCTCACCACCTCTAGGGGCCCTGAAGTCACAGTTCCCTTCTTGTTTACACAAATACCCTGGGCTCGAAAGAATCTGCTTGACTGCTTCATTCCAAACAGGACAACCTTGTTTGTCTCTTGTAGCGAAAATAAACAGAAGTCTTGCGGCGCCTCAAAGACTAAAGGCATTCTATTCCCGTGTAAACTCTCACGGACCAAGGGCCACCTCTTCAGGGGCATAGTGACGGCAAGGTGATGACTCAGTGTGTCTGACAAAGCAGTTTCTAGCCCACAAAAGGATATGTTGGAATACAACCTCGCCAGCCTTTAAGGTGCCACAAGAATCCAGTTGACACCGTCTGTAGCTTCCTCACCAATATCCCCATCCTAAACGCCCTGGCTTTCAACAGAAAGAAGGCCAGAGAATGGTGGGGAAACCAGCATTGCAAATGGCTACCCTCCAGAAAATGTCTTAATACACACAACGTCGCCCTACATGTCCTAATAGTTTCATACGTCTTTGGCTGGCACCAGTTTTTCAGCATTGAGCAATTTGGCGTGTCAGTCACTGCAGAGGAAGGAGAATTGTGGGGTTGGGGTTTTACCTTGCTTTGGGTTTGGTTTTCCCCCAGTTCTCAGCAGACTTATGTGGAAGCAACTCTCCACCCAATAGATGGAACAGAATATAATGCGGTCAACATAGTTTAAGACCAGGGCATTCCCCCCACCCTTTGTTTCTTTCATTTGTACCCCACTTTTATCTCTGAAAAAGACCCACAGAGGCTTATCACATTTTCTCCTTCTCCATTTCATCCTCACAACAACCCTGCGAGGTAGGTTGGGCCGAAAGCATGAGATTGACCAGAGCAAGGTCACCCTGCAAGCTTCCAGGGTAGAGCAGGGATTCGAATCTGGGGCTCCCAGACCCTAGTCCGACACTCTACCCCCTAAATCACCAAGGCTGACCACTTAAACTCCTCGACCCAAAGTAGCCAAGCAGATGGTCTTATTGCCAATTAAAGCTACGGGGAAGATGTAAAGATCAAATTCAAATAAATGCCATTTATTTTTTTAAAAGTGTGTGTTGAATTGAGGCCAGTCTCAAGAAGGCAAAACTTTTTAGCATCTAGATCCTGAACCCATCAGAAGAATATATCCCGTTAGAATAACTTGGACTGACTTCCACTCCCAGGTATTTAGATTTGGGGTATACGCCAGTCCAGTCCCAAATCCCAGTTAAAACGACTTGAGCACACCTTGGTGTCATAGACACCAAATAAGGTAATTCCATTTAAATCCAATGGGCCTTCCAAACACCGCCCTGTTTAAACACAGTCAGGGGGGGAATCTCCTGCAGATTTTGATAGAGTTGGGGGCAGTGTTCCCTCTAAGCTGAGTTAGCGTGAGCCAGCTCACAGTTTTTTAGCCTCCAGCTCACCCATTTTTGTCTTAGCTCAGGGAAGGACGGCTCCAGAGCCAAACTAATGTATGCAGCAGCCCAATCACTCACTCACACAACTTTAATGCCAGGAGCTCACAAAGTAGAATTTTTGCTCACAAGACTCCACGGCGTAGAGGGAACATTGGTTGGGGGCATGTAGATCTATGGCGAGACACCGACACCTCTGTACACTATGAACACACCCATATCACAGATCTAGGTATCACGAAATCTGCTGGCTTTTCAGTTGGGCACAGGAACTGTGCCTTTAACACGTCTGCGTCTGAAGAAGTGTGCCTGCACGCGGAAGCTTCTATTCAGAATTAAACTTTGTGTGTCTTCAAGGTGCCCCACTGGACCCGAACTCTGTTCTGCTGCTTCAGACCAACACGGCTGCCCACCCGAATGCGCCTCTAACAAAGGACACCAGCAAGGGGAAACGTTTCGTTCCCAACGTTCAGGCAATCACTGGCTGATACCTGCTGTTAAAGAACCAAAATCCACCTTTCCTCGGGTTCTGTCTGACCAGTTGGCGAGCTAACTAGGGCAGGCCGGCTTGCAGTGCAATCCTAACAACAGTTTCCTGGGAGTAAGCAGGCAAGTTCCGTTTGAGAAGAATCCCGGGTAGACCCTAAGGCAGTGGTGGCGAACCTATGGCACGGGTGCCAGAGGCGGCACTCGGAGCCCTCTCTGTGGGCACGCGTGCCATCGCCCCAGCCAGGCCCAGACCATCATTAAAGTGTCGAATTCTCTGCCAAATAATTGTAAGTAAATGAAAGCATTTGGGATTGCTTTCCTTACTTTGGATCATCTTAAGTTAATGTATGCATGGTTTTTTCTAAAGTAAAACCTCAGTATTCAGGTTAAATTGCCGTGTTGGCACTTTGCGATCAATAAGTGGGTTTTGGGTCGCAGTTTGGGCACTCGGTCTCTAAAAGGTTCGCCATCACAGCCCTAAGGGGAACACTGTATGCCCTTCCTAAATGGATGGGGTTTATGTATCGAAAGTTATTTCGACTCCACTTCAGGTGGATTTCACACAGTGAGTCAGTCTCCTCGTGAGAAGGGGAAGATCAGGCCGTCGTCCTAGGGCAGGCGTACCTAGAAGTCAGTCCGGCTCATATCCAGCTGGGTTTACAGCACAGGAAGGGGGTGGGGGAAAGGTCTTGGATGGGAACAGAAGTGCCCAGGTAGGCAGGTAGCCCGAAGTCTGGGCACACTGGGGGCAAAGGTCGCTCTAAGCTGTGGAGCCTTTTGAGCGAGAATCCTACCTTGTGAGCTACTGACATTAAAGGTGTGAGCGAGCGATTTGGCTGCTGCATAAACTAGTTTGCGCTGGAGCCCTCCTTCCTGAGCAAAGACAAAAACGTGTGAGCCGGAGGCTAAAAAATCGTGAGCTCGCTCACACTAACTCAGCTTAGAGGGAACCCTGCTCTGAGGCCCTGCTTCCTGAGCTAAGACAACAATGTGTGAGCTGGAGGCTAAAAAACTCTGAGCTCGCTCACACTAACTCAGCTTGGAGGGAACACTGACTGGGGGTTTGCCACCACCAGTGTAGGCCGAGCTGTTTCAATGCCTCCCCAAATGGGGCCGGTTTTCTCCTCTCTTTGTCCTCCCACCTCTCCATTGGGCCTGCCCCAATCCACCCTGCAAGGGCGACCCGAAACTGACCAAGGGAAAGTGACCAAAAACAAAAGCCAGAGATGACTCACAGTGTCCCCCTCCCCCCCCGCCTTCTGTCTCACAAGCAACCATCTGCCCAACACATTGCGGGATCGCCTACTTGGGGGGAGGAGGAGAGAGGATCCCTCGCCCCTTTAGGCCACAGTCTTCCACCTTAACCCAACTTTTGGAACCTAGAGAATCTCCGGTTCTTATCTTTTCTGGTCGATCTTAAAAAATATTTTCTGGCTGAGCGAAGGCCAGTTTGGTACGGAAAGGGGACTGCCGTTTGGAGTCTGATGACT